TGCCGTGCCATTGCTGGCCGATGGTATGTAGCGGTAATGAGTTGTTGTCGACAATAGTCCCTTCGATAAAATATAGCGGTAATGATTGCCCGAAAATTTGGGAAAATGTAGCGGTAATGAGTTAAAATTTTCGCAATGTAGCAGTAATGTTGACTTCCCCACTCCGCAAAAGCCCTGACATTTTGGTCGTGCGCCGTAGGACCATATCCTGTGCACATTGAAGCATAATAAAATCCATATTTGAGCCCATAATTTATTAAAAAGAAGAAGATGTTATACAATTATGGACTCTTTCGGTTGTGAATATCGTTTGTTATTCACCAGAAAAATATCAATATTGACCTAGGCGAATCTGAGGTCAATATTGATATTTTTCTGGTGAATAACAAACCACATTCCCCACCGAAAGAGTCCATAACTGTTTTGTCATATAGTCCGGATTTGAATAGATAACACATTGAAGATTGCATGACGATACCTCTTTTCATTAACGAACCTCTTTTGTAGAATAATTTAAGAATAAAAAAAAAACACGGATTACAACTTATAACTTCCTTGATATCTTTTCGCTGTGTGTAAGACATAAAAATGTTTGGAAAATAATCCTGCGATAGACATGCCTAACATTACACAGCTGGCTCCTGCCGTTGTAATCATATCGTTGTAACCATATTCAACGTTGGGGTATTGATTGTGATGTCACGCACACGCGCACTGACCCTCCGGTGAATACGGCTTCAAATCCAGTGAATATGTAGTGTTATGAACCGTTTGCGTTTGTATAGATTATATAGGGGCTATTTAAAGACTATATAACAAACTTAAATATGATGAATAAACATTTGCTGAAAATCTCAGAAAAACGCAATGTCTATGATTTTTCTGGACAACCATCGTATTTCCACAAAATTACTGTATTTGTGTGTTTAATGATCAAAAGAATGAGTTAATGGAATTTGACATCCAGGCTATCCTTACTTTTTTGAAACTCAAGGATTTTATACATTTATTGTATGATAATGAGGGAAATATGAAGAGTTAATCAGCCAAGAAATATCATATTCCCCGAGGGCTTCGCCCGAGGGGAATATGATATTTCTTTGCTGAATAAATCTTCATGTTTCCCGAACATTCATGCAATGAATTGTTTGTTATACCGAAACAAGCAAAAACTTTGAAATAAACATAAACTTTCAAATTCGGCACCGCTCTCAAATTCACTTTCATTTTTAACGTAAAGTTATTGAAACCCTTTGACTCATCACTGATCATCAATTTTGTGACGTAAACCAGGCTATTGTGACGTCTTCTACTCTCGGGAGTTTTCTTTCAACGAACAATAACTATTGCGGGAAAATGCACTAGGTATCCAAAGAGGGGAAATATGATGAAAAACATGTCGGCGACCGTGAAATATGAAATTTTATGGCCGATCACGTGATAATTATGATATTTTTTTGCTGAATAAATCTTCATGTTTCCCGAACAATCATGCAATAAATTGTTTATCATACCGAAACAAGCAAAAACTTTAAAAATAAACAAAAACTTTCAAATTCGGCACCGCTCTCAAATTTACTTTCAATTTTAATTTAGTGCTACTGAAACACAGAACTCCATCAGCAACTTTGTGACGTAAACTAGGCTATTGTGACGTTTACTGCTATCGGGAGTTTTCTTTCAACGAACGATAACTATTCCGGGAAAATGCATTAGGTCTCCGAAGAGGTTGAATATGATGAAAAGCATGACGACGACAGGGAAATATGAAGTTTAATGGCCCTGTCACGTGATAATCTAGAACCAATAAGACGTGTTGTATAGAATAACTATAATGAGGTTTAATAATATAGTTAGTTGATTGAAAAATTATTCTCTTCGTGAACAGCAAAAAAAAAAGGGGGTAACCTTCGGATCACCCTGTCGAAATATGACGAATGATGTTGTCCAAAATGTGCATACACATAGTATATATAGTCAGGTATGAAAAAAATTCATAAATAACGAAAATTAAACGACAGGAATTTTTTTTTTTTTTTTTTTTTGGGGGGGGGGGGGGGTTAGGTGTGTTGTACATCCTTAATTTCTAACTTTGTGATTTTTTTTTTTATATGTGAATATTTAGGTTTAAGGATGTCGAGAAATTATCAAGAGGAGGGAAAAGTTGACTCAATGTTTCAAGAGCCAGAAAAAGGATATATTATTACACAATTATATTCTACTTCTCAAGGCCGACAGCATATTATCTATACCTATTGTCTGAAGTTAATATAGCATATGGGGACTGCAGATATACAACAAAACAGAATACAAGAGAATACAAGAGAATAATTTAATGATTAAAGAAAACATAAATAAAGAGACATCAAGAAAATGAAATACTTTCTGCAAGATTATTTGACAAACAGAATATCACAATACATGTCATGACTTTGTTTTCTAAGCATTCATAGTCAAAATACAAGGTAATGCAATATTTTGTTTGAAATCCTTTACATTAAAATATGATTGAAAAAAAAAAATACTCAGTACTACATCATCATTTAAAATTAAAACTTTGTGTCATACAACGGATTTATTTGCTTTTAATTCTTAAAAAAAAAAAACCAATCCGTATATCAATATACCCTGTATTCCCTGAAGGGCAGATAATATATCCGCGTTTTGCTTAATTGATCTTTTACATGTATATTGCAATTGTAAAATGAATGAGACATTTGAATCAAATACAGAAATATATACATTTTCGTTGGGATTGTCCACAGTAAAACATTTTTTTGTCTATTAAGTGGAAATATTTGACCCTTATCCCCCCCCCCCCCAAAAAAAAAGCTATTATCAAGAAATCAGGTGGCGACTTCCCAAAGAACCAGTCTAAGATGAAGGATAATATTTAGACCATATTTAATTCCAAATCTTTGAATTGAACAGAACTCGTTTTCACATATCAATTTCAATGTAATTCAAATTTTATACCGTTGATTTCAACAACCTGGCTTAGAGTCAGCATTTCGTAAATTCTATGGTCGTTATTATGACATTGTTAGAGAATATAACCTACCATTGGCTCGTATGTTGGTTGATCTGTTTCATACCAAATTTGACTACAGAATGTTCCGTCTACCTGATCTATACATAAGCCTCTGGGCGGGTGTGACCGGTCAACAGGGGATGCTTTCTCCTCCTAGGTACCTGATCCCACCTCTGGAATTTTCAGGGGTTCATGTTTTATGCCCTACTCACAAAGGATGACTGCACTTAAGGACATGCGAAAATTGCGACAAAATAAATTTTCAATGAAAGCAAGCATTTTTTTTCTTTTAATTGCATGAATGGTCAACATCTAATCTACAACTTTACGTAAAAAAATTAAATAAAAGTATCCATTTACGGGGGTCATCACAATTTCTTAAATCTACATACGATCATGAGGACGCCCACTTTTTTCAATGACTTTATACAAAGCGCATGTTTGTCTATTGTTCTCTGTTTATTATAATTCACCATATGATTTCTTACCTCAGGTTACTCTGTGAATACTAAATTCCGTCACGTGACTTACAAGATAGTATGTTTTGTGCTCACTAGGACACTGCTCGAACATGTGGAATTGTCAGACATCGATTCAAAATATTCTTTACTTACATGCTAATATTGTTAATTTCGTTTTGAAACCTATGTAAAAATGTACTTGTGCCATACAGAATAAAGGGGGAGATGGGAAAGAGCAATCTCGTATTTTTCTTTACTTGATATTGTTATTTGTCTAGTCCAATTTAGAGTTATCCTTACAACTGTGCAATTTTAGCACCACCTTTTAGGCATACCTAATGTTTGATCAAGGGCAGGTAAGTGTATATTCTCTATATTTGGGAGGCAGTAAGAACTAAAAATATTTTTTTTATTGTATCACAGTCTAAAATCACTTTAATTTATTATTTTTATTATTTAGATTTGGTGCCAAATTGACGGAATTCTTTAGTAAATTTACGAAAGTGAAATAAGGTTAAGATATGAAAGCAACCGAAGCGACGGAAAAACACACCAAAAGCCAGCGTTAAGTGCAGTTATCCTTTATAAGTCCCCTACCGGTGAAACCGGAGGGGACGATAGGTTTCCTCTGAGTCTGTCCGTCCGTCTGTCTGTCTGTCCCACTTGGTTTTCCGCACTTTTTTCCTAAACGCTTGCAAATATTGAGCTGATTTTTGGTATGTGAGTGTATCTTTACAGATCAAGTTTGCATTTTGTTCCGCTTCATTGATTTTTGACGGAATTACGGCCTTTTAAATTTTACGGGTTCTCCGCAATTTTCTTCTAAACGCTTGTAAATATTGAGCTTATTTTTGGTATGTGGCTTTACCTTGATTAGTTATAGATCAAGTTTGCATTTCGTCCCGCTTCATTAATTTTTGACGGAAATATGGCATTTCAATTCTTAACAGGAACGGAACCAGATTACACTTGCCGGTAGGGGACTAGTATTGCTAATGCAATGCTCTCAGAATGCTTGTTGATTATAGGACTTTATGTGATCGATCACTGTTCGTTATCTTCACCTTACCATCATTTTAATGAGACGACAAGTCAAATATAAAATCACAGACTGAGGATTAGCAAAACATTCAAAATTAACATATAAGCTTGAAAATATTTAGGGCCAATGAAAACGTCAAGTCAATGAATATTCACAAGATATTTCCCAGGATCATTAAAAACAATGCAGGCTAAAACAAAACAGGATAGATAAAATCAAACAAATAAAATACGATTTTTTACTAAATACAAGAGCGACATTGAATAAGAATAACAATATTTTTATGCTAAAACAAAATGTCTTAGAAAAACTGTATAGTTCTTGTTGCAACTGAAAAAAAAAGAAATATAAAGCTTTATTTTAAAAGTAAAAAAAAGTAATAAATCGTATCCTCTTGACTAGTACTATTGGTCACATAAATTCGTGTAAATCGTTAACTTATCAAAGAATCAAGGATCAATCTGTTTTAAGTATTGGCATAAACACTGTCTGTGTTCAAAAAATCAGAAACTGCTTTGAAACAAAATTCATATTCTTCCTGAAATATAAAGAAAAATCATATAAATTTCAGTCTTTTGCTTTATCAAATAAAATAATCAAAGTATATTATATAAATTATGTGAGGAAAAATTGAATAATTAATGCAAACAAAAGCGATTCTTTGTTCTCTTTCCTCATTTAATGAATTAAAATCCCGATATTTTTGAAGGCCAGCGATAATACATTTTCCATACAATGTTGATTATGAACTTGGGGGTGTTAATTCTAATCCTACTTATATAAGAGATTTTTTCTTTAAAAAATTGATGAAAATGCTTAGCCTAATATATATACATTATGATGTACATGTACCTTCGTTGATATCATTTCAGGTCTTCGACACTGTAACTGCTGAACTATAGTAAATATGTCCACCTCGTCGTCCTGTTGTAACTGTTCTATGGCGTTATACACAGTACAAAACACTCCACAGCAGGTTGCTCCATCCCTTTAACAAATAGAAAGACAATGTTTAATACTGACTTACTTTAATGTGATCTAACTAGACCTGAAATCAATGATGTATATTTCTCAAGCATATTATTTTACATATTCAATACTGGAATACATATAATATTTATTTGATATCAACATATGAATGCACTTGTTCGTAGATTATGTTATTTCAATTTCTAACTTTAAGATAAATGCGACTCATACAAGGAAGCGATTGGTCTTTGTCCGCCATATTTCTTTTCAATTGTCTTTATTTCTAGAGCCACTTCACGGTTCAAAACTCTTTTCGATTTCGCGAGTGATGGAGTATCTTACATAACCATGGTAAATTACCCGATACTGATAAAACAATGCCCACTAGTAATACCCCCGCTCTGATGTGAATATACACTATCTAAATCTCACCATATGTCATGCTTAAACAAAGAGTGCGCTAAAATTTCAAGCATCTGTGATAAGTACTGTTGTTGCTGAGAAAACCGCGATGGATTTTGGTACGGATAAACAGGAAGTTGACATTGGATTTTTACAGAAGAAATCCCACCATATAGCAGTGTGCTAAAATTTCAAGTATCCGGGAACAGTAATTGCTGAGAAAACTGCAACCGAAATTTGGTACGGACAGACGCACAATCATATAAACAGGAAGCTGATATCGGATTTGTACAGAAATCAATCTCATTATATGGCAATCCTAATCAAAGACTGCTAAAATTTCAAGCATCTGCGATGAGTAGTTGCTGAGAAAACTGCCAAGAAAATTTGTTACGGACAGACACATAGACGGACAGAAAGACAGACAGACAGACACGGCATAACAGTATACCTCCTCTCCTTCTGAGCGGGGGTATAAATATAAACATGGACTTCGCAGGCTTTTGCAACGACAGGAGCTCAATTTAAAATAAGACAAACAAACACTTGAGACAATTAAATGAGAAAAAAAACAAAGTAAGATTACCACGCATGTCATCCATTCAATAATCAGTAGCCAGAAAGCAATCTGCCCTAACAAATGGATAGGGTATACCCCAATGCTGATATCATACTGACTAAAAATACCCGACTCAAAACTTTTTAACCTCCTGGAAATTATTCTATTTTTCTTAACCCCTTGACTGTTTCATTCCCATGAAAATCCACTTTATTTCACGAAAACCTCCATTCTCAATAAATTTTTAAAGTTAAGCATTGATGCTAAAATAATTATCAAAAAATGTCTTACCTACAAACAGATGTATTTAATTCTGAATCGGGAGAGGACAAACACACTTTTTTTTTCAAAACATGACCTAATAAAGAGTTTCGCTGTTCCACTTTTATGTGTAAATCTTTGCATCTTAGTTATATCAGTTACAGGGAAGAAAATGGGGACAAACACACTTACAGTACCAACCAGACCCAACCTGACACCAAAGCAGTCCCAGAAAGCAGTCCCCGGGACTGCTTTGGGACCGCTCTGGGACTGCTGTGGGACTGCTCTGGGACCGCTGTGGGACTGCTCTGGGACCGCTATGGGACTGCTCTGGGACTGCTGTGGGACTGCTCTAGAAAGCAGACCCAGCAGTCCCTGGGACTGCTTTCTGGGACTGCTTTGTTCACTCATGCGTGAAAAAGGTTCTGAGTGACATGATAGCTCCGCCCCTTGTGTATTCTGAATTTGCAGCTCCTTGTTGTTGTTTTGTTTACTTTCTGCAGAGAGGTGTTTAAGAAAAAAGCAAATATAAAAAAAAAACAAGTATTGATTTCTTACAAAAATTAAATAAATAGAGATAGTTATACATGTAATTACTAAATGTCTTTAGAGGGCTGTAAATTTACACAATTGTAGTCTAAAATTAATTTTAAGAAAATAAAAATAGTTTAAAAGAGAAGTCAGGGGATGATTTTTATACCTTAAATTAAACTTCAATACAGGTGTTTGAAAAAAAAAATCTAGGACTATTTAATAAATTAATGCTGTCAAATTACATATGTACTCAAAGTTTGCATTAGCACTATTTAAAAAAAACAAAACAAACAAACAAACTTGTCATTTCAGTAAGATACATGTATTCAGAGGAACGTACTGAACTGGATTTTTTTTCTTAATTGAAAAAGCTAATACCATGCTTAAAAAAAGAGCATTCCATGCTATTTTTTACCACCCTCAAATAAAACCTAATAATTTATTTAATGACCATGAAATAAAATTATTCCACCATTCTACTGTCACATGAACAATGTGAACAATTATTCCGGGATTTATTTATGAATTAGTTTTTAATTTATAAACAAGTCATTAAAAGAGTACATTTATTAAAAAAATAAACATTTGAAAATATCGGGAATTATGACTTGTTTCTTATTTCTTTTGTTTGTGTTTACCTGGCCGGTTAATACAGTGGGATTGTATAAAATGGTGTCAACACCTGAGGTTTCAATCGCCTTTGGGCATAATTAGCAGAAAGTCAATGCATTTTATTTGGGTATCAGTGTTACACATCACTGAACACGCTGGTCAACATTGACATAATTTCAATCTATGTCATGCAAAAAATCTTAGTTTCAATAATTGTGTATAAATTTATTTCGGGATTAATTAATTTTGAACATAATCTGAGGGTTCCATTTTCGTGATTTACAGATGTACACTCGAACTTTTATATAATAAAACACTTAAAACTGAGAATCTAAAGATAATTAAATTGGCAAGTCATTGAAAATAATCATGACTGAAATATAATACTCGGCAATGTTTAACAAAGAATTTTTCAAAAGCTCCAATACTTAAGAAAAATGCATTCAGAGTATAGTATGGGAATCTGCCTTGCTCTATAATTATCATTATCTATTTAAAGCTAATTCTGGTATAAAATGAATAATTCAAGTTTAATTTTCTATATTAAAAAAATAAATATGAAAACCAATATCAATCACAAAAAATGAAGAAATTGGTTTATTTTGGTTAAAAATTAATATACCAAATAACTGTGTTTAAATATTCATGTTATTAATAGGTGTGAACGTCTTCTTCATTCAATAATTATAAATTGTTTCTATATGCGTACTGTGATTTTCTTAACAGTTCAGAAATGACTGTTGTGTAAGAATTGTAAATATTTGTTGATACTACACAGAGAGAATTGCTCATCAATTTCAATTGCCTTTTATATAGTTGCATTGTTTATTGGTAATCTCATTCGGAGTAAGCTCCGCCCATTAAATTAATTAACCCCGCCCACTGGGACTGCTGGGACTGCTTTCTGGGACTGCTGGGACTGCTTTCTGGGACCGCTGGGACTGCTGGGACCGCTGTAGGACTGCTCTGGGACTGCTGTGGGACTGCTCTGGGACCGCTCTGGGACTGCTCTGGGACCGCTCTGGGACTGCTTTAGCAGTCCAAGAAAGCAGTCCCCAGAACTACTCTGGGACTGCTTTGTGTCAGGTTGGGTCTGGTTGGTACTGTATAAATCAATTAAATTACAAATCACAATTATTTGATGATATATGAATCTCTCACTATATTTCCTTATCAATATAGAGGATAAAATAGAATTCTCTTGGCCTTTTCGTCATACGGCAACATTTGTCCTGCAAGTGTCAACTATAATAGGACAAAAACCATTATATAATTTTAACATACATTTATATAAAAGGTAAAAATGAAGGTTTGATATGAGGATATAGTACATACTTCGATATAACAGTAATATGTCCGTTGGGATGAGACTTGCGATCAAGGCTGAACTGTTTTATGAGGTTTGTCAATGTAGAAGTTTCGGTTGGAAGAACATCATTGGAACTCCAATTTAAACACTCAAATATCTCCACTTCATTGGCTTCCTTGTTCTCCTATAGAAAAAAAAAAACCATGCAAATATAGTTTAACAAAATATTACTTTGTTATAGAGAAAATAATCATTCAATCAAAATGCATATAGATAAAATAAATAGTTTCAAAAAAAATTTCAATACTTATAAAAAAATCACTTTTTACTTCAATTAAAGAAAGTGACATTAAATGAATCTACAGTATTCAGCTAAATAATGTTGAAAGGTCTGGAAAGGTCACCTAATGTCAATGGTCTGCCATTCAGTCACCTTTCAGTAAATGTCCAAAAACCTTTCAGTTAACAAAATGGCAAATTTATATCTCATCCTTAAAGGGAAAACCTTCATTATACATTCAAATATATATTGAACATATTGGAAAAGTATTATCTTACCTCTTTTTTAGTTATTTTTATGCTTGTCTTTCTGATCTCCTTGGACAGTGTTGTCTGTGCATCTCTAATGATTGTATAAGGACTCAGTCTAATATTGCCATTCTTTTCATCAACCCAATTGTGTAGCTGGAACAAGATGACATATATGCATGTACAGTATGTATAAATGAAACCTATAAATTAAAGGGAATTTAGCAATCAAGACAATAGGACTAAACGTGTATGCATTGTGTTTAATGAGTTTAAAGAATGATTTATCTCTACCTCTTTAACCTCTGATAGAGGGTTTAGTGAAATTAGGAATGCTGACTCATGATCTACAAGCAGACGAACAAGATCTATGGCCGCACCAGACACAGGAAATTGTGCAGATATAAATTCCTCAGCTCGGGAGAACGACTACATGTAAAGAAATATAGAGAACAGAACATGTTAAAGCACAGATCTAAGGTATTCAACATTGTTCCTCAATCAAGTAACACAGTAAATCAAGTAGAGATGTTCGTTGATTGTAAATTTTTATACGTTGATAATATATCTCTAACGACCAACACATCTATACATACAGACACATGAACTGCATTGTAGTAAGATTCTCTGCCAGGAACATGGGAAGTCAAGTAGACCAGGTATTGCTCAACTGCAAATACAGGATTCATGAGAGTGGATTAGACAAAATCAACCGACTTGAAAATATGCGTAAGATTCTCTGTATCCAATTGTCAACAAAAATAAATATTAATAATACTGTGTTGTTATATATAATACTACAAAAACCATTCTTGAATTGAAAACATAGGTAATCAAAGATTACGAAGCTCACCTAGACGAATGTTATCTTTAAGTAAGGCAAATTTCACATATTTTTTTTTTATTTAGTGTACATCCCAAGATCAATGTCCATGCAAGTTTGGTTTAAGTAGGACTTATAGTTACTTGGAAATAGACCTGTTCAAAAAACGTTTATCCTGTTTACTAATCAAGAAAATTTTGGTCAGTTCCAACATCCAAAGTAAGTCTGGAAGTTTTCATCCTTAGATGCACCATCTATGCAAGTTTAATCATAACAGGCCATAATGTTATATAGCTACTCCAAAAAAAAAATTAACCTGGTCACTCATCTGGAAAATGTAGGTCAGATGTAGAATCCAAAGCAAGTCTAGAAAAGATCATCCCTAGCTACATCATCCATGCTAATTTGGTTAAAATATGGCTAAAATTCACTCATGCGGACGCAGCTATGTTAAGGCTGTCCGAAGGCTTAATTTGCATTAGATATATACTATTTTATTTTGAGCTTTGTTTTGATTTAAATTTGTAATCTATGTATACATACACAGTTAAGTTGTAAAGAGAGTTGAATAAGGTATTATAAAAAAGCATTTCTGTGATGTCACATGACTGTTGATTACGTGACGGACACTTATAAATTTTCTTAAATGTTGCACAAAAATCGCATCGGCACCAGTGAAAAACAAAATTATTGTGAACGGCTTGTTACATAAATCAATCAAACGTATTCTTGAGTATATATAAAGTGCTGGGGGCAAGTCTGAATTTTATTTGTTAAGAAAATATTTCACGAGAAATTCAACTTACCCATATTCAAAGGGTCATTTTCCACTCTTCATCGCAATTTATACAAAATGGGATAAATAACATACAATCCCCCAGCAAAATTCAGTTAGAGGACATATTTCTCTAGTAGATTCACACAGAATATCTTCAATTAATTTTTATTATTCACTTGTGCCAGACTAATATATACACGATTTATAAATTCTCACTCTGTCTACAGACGCGTAAGGGGGAGCGTTTCACAATTTGTTTTGTAATTGTTTGAATACGTACGTTAGACAAGGAAAAGGAAAAAAGATATTATACTGCAAAATTTTCACCATCATAACAGCCTTAAAACAAGAATCCAGACACATGAATTAAACATCAACGTAAAAAAATTCTATATGTGATGTGAAAGGAATGTAAAAGTTATGACATTTTCCCCGTCATGTCTGCTCAAATTTGCAGGGACTTGACGTAATATGCCATTATGACGTCATATCTAGGTAGTTTAGAGAATTTACGGCGGCTGGTACACTGTGACATTCTTCGGACAGCCTTATCCTAGCTGCGGAAAATCTAGGTCGAATACAGCATCCGAAGCAAGTGTGGTAGTGCCCATCCCTAGATCCATCATCCATGCAAGTTTGGTCCAGGTAAGCCTTATAGTTACTTGGGAATGGACCTGCTCCAAAAACTTTAACCTGGTCACTCATCTGGAAAATCTAGGTCAGATCCAGCATCCGAAGCAAGTGTGGTAGTGCCCATCCCTAGATCCATCATCCATGCAGGTTTGGTCCAGATAGGGCTTATAGTTACTTGGGAATGGACTTGCTCCTAAAACTTTAACCGGGACGCCGACACCGACGCCGACGCCGGGGGTATAGCATAAGCTCATCTCGACTTCGTCCGTCGAGGTGAGCTAAAAAGCAAGTAAACATTCTTTACTAAAAATAAACCAGAAGATAAATTCGGTGCTTGTATACCTGGTAAAATTGATTTGGTAAAGTTCAGTTTCGAAAACTTCTTTCCACTCTTGAAATCTTTGGCATCATATCTTGGCTTTAAACTAATTAATTCCTAAAAAGTATGATGGATAATATATATATATATATATATATATATATATATATATATATATATATGGGGGGGGGGGGTGTTTATGACTCCAAAGTGAGATGGGACTCCAAAGTCCGATGGTCACGCCAAAGTCCGATGGTTTGTGCAAAACCCCAATGGTATGACAAGCCGAAGTCCGATGATGCGGAAAACAATTAACGTTTATGACGTCATAGTACTACTGCGCCAAACTGCAATGCCTGCCATGCCAAGGTCTTAAATAAGTATAAATAAATATCATTATGCGAAAACTAACCGTAATCTCTCGGATAGGTGCGAAACTAACCCTAATCGCTCGAAAAGTGTGTAAATACGATAACCTAGATATCTTGGGTGGGTGCGAGACTAACCCTAATCACGCGAGGACTAACCTTAAATCTCTCGGGTTGGTGCGAAGCAAGGACTAACACTAATCAGTCTAGTGGTGTGCGAGGACTAATCCTAAAATCTCTAGAAGGTGCAAGCAAGAAGCAAAATCAATAAAACTGTATGCGAGGACGAATTCAGAAATGATGGCTTTTGAATGCAGGACAACGGCGTCAAGGATTGACGTCGGATTACTCTGACGTCATAAACGTTGATTGTTTCTCCGCACCATCGGGATTTGGCGTGTCAGACCATTGCACTTTAGCGCAGCGCGTCTCATAGGAAACAAGCCATTGGCGTCCGTACCGACAACCATCGGTGTTTGGCGCAGACCGTCGGGGTTTGAAGAGACCATCGGACTTCGGCGTTACCATCGGAATTTGGAGTCTTAAATACACACACACACACACACCCTTGTTTGTAAATCCAGCCAACTGACTACATTTGAAATTTTACCTTCATCTCGCTTCACCGATTTAGAGGCTTGAAAAAGAGAAAGTAAGACCAGAATATACCGAGGTTAACCTTAGGATTTCTCTGTATCCATAGGAATTTTTGATATCTTTTACTTTAAGTATATTGAAATTCGACATGAATCTCACTACATTTTTACACTTATTGAACACACACGTGCAAATCAGTACAGCTAATTCAACCGTCAATTCACTACAAGGTTATAAACACACAGGAAAATCGCTACAGCTAGTGATCATGTTTAATTTTTTAATTGCACCGTTTATTTTATTTTATTTACTGATATAAATGGTGTATGTATGTACAAGACAGTACACAAGATCAAAGGAAAAGATTGGATATACGGCAAAAATGTATGTTATCAGAGCTGTTCCCATGTTGACATATACATGTATACAGCATGTACAGCGCCGGTCTAACATAAACTCTAATTAACATTAATCTCAGAGTCGATAATTGAAGATATCTTTTAATAATCAAGGACATCATCAATTCATTTTTTATTATTAATAATGGAATGAACGATACTTTCTTTTAATGAAAGAACGGAAAAAATCTTTTTTAAGACAATCTCTAAATTGATTCTTTGCGAGTAAATTTTCCGCCACTGTATTGATAGGCCTATCTTCGATTCAATTGATAAGCGCATGAAATCAATTATTGCTCTCCTTTATTGAATAGTTGCGCGTATAAATCCAGCTGATGAGAGGAATAACTGATCTGATGCTCTCACTCATTCAGAAAATGTATTTCAAGCAGTATCCTAAGCATGTCTTGTATCTTTTCTTTCCATGTAACATCTGTGCAAGATTCGTTAAGCTAAAAACTAGTCCCCTACTGGTAAAAACGGTTCTTTCCTCAACTGTCTGCCTGTCTGTCCCTCTGTAAGTCCTTCCCATGGCACTTGAATTTTCCGCCCTTTTTCTACAGCTTGCAAATATTGAAGTGATGTTTGGTATGTGAGTCTACCTTTACTAAGTTACAGATCAAGTTTGAATTTCCGCTTTCAAGAGTTTTGACGGAATTACGGGCATTTCAATTTTTTAGGAGAACCAGATAACATTTGCTGGTAGGGTGCTAGCATTGCATATGCAATACTCTCAAAATGCTTGTTAAAGTTACGAAAAAAGCTACTCCCTAAGCACCTAAATGGTCACTTTTGCTGATAATGAAGGAAAAAGCAGCATCCGAAGCAATACTGCTATTATCAGCAGTCAATATTAGCTGCTCGGCATTAAGCTAGATAACTTGCGATTTATAAGTTCTTTCAAAATTTAAAGTAGTGGCATGTTTGAAATATATATTCTTTCAGCATCGAATTTTCTTTAAATTTTTCCCAAAAAATCCCTGTGTGAAGAATCGTGTGGTCAGTTAGTAAAAAAACAAAGTCGAACGTCAATTCATCATAGTTTCAAAACAGTAAATATTCCGTGATCTGGGTAACCAAAAAGTTAGTGGAATTAATTGTATTAATGATAATTCATTCTCATTAATACCCAATGATAATCGCCCAAGTTCAAGTTCAGTTTATTCACCCAACCCAAAATAATAGTACATGGGATACATTTATAACATATATATATATATATATATATATATATATATATATATATATATATATATATATATATATTCATATAAACTGTTCAGAGGTACAATATCTATATATACAATGCAAAAACATGATAAAAAATGAATAATGATAATGATAAAAATACTTCGCCGTTCCATTTTTAACCATTTTCAAGAGAAAATTCTTAAAGATTACATATAGTCATATACCCTAATGTATAGTTAAGAAGATGCGAAGACTCCCTGACCGCTTGGGAAAGTGTGTTTTAACACCCTACTGCTCAGATTGACCGGTGGGGGAGACTTTCAATGATTTAAAAATACGCTATCTAACAAAAAACATGTTGTTTAGCTAGAAAATGCTAAAATGCATTCTCTAAACGGACAGGGTGTCTCAAGCCGCCTCAATACCCTTGATAGATTCAGGGCAAAGCCCAGATGATGGCGCAGAGGACTAAAGTCCCTGAAAGCTCCGGAATTTTGACGATGCAAAGCCATTTTATTCACAGAAGAAGTTGGAGAATAGATATATTTTTGTTCTTATTCTAGTATAGGCATAGTAGGCATACTGTAGTACAATAGTAGGCAGGTAGTATTCTAGTAGGCATACTGGGCGACTGAAATTTCTCGGTACTACATTAATAGAGTATTTGAAAATTTTTTAAAGAAGATAAATCAATCATAAGTTAATGAAATACATTATAACGTGTACATAAACAGAAAATTTAAAAGGGTGTTTTAGTGATAACATTTTTGTATCGTGTTCCTACAATGAATTTCAGTATAAATATGAAAGTAAAAATTAAGAGAAAATTCATATAGGAAGATGGCTTTCTATGCAAACTTCGTGATAATTATAGTTTTGTCAATGATAAAATATGTACAACCTTTGATTTTGAGTATCCTATGCCCTGAAGGAGTATTAATTTTTTTTAATCAATTTACTTTGGGGGAGACTAAACGATGAGCATGCTTGAGCATATAAGGAAATATGGAAGCTCTGCCATACCAGCCAAATTAACATACTTTTTATGTTACTTGTGTTAAAGATATATTCAAATAAAGCATGTAAATTGAAATGATAAAAAAAAACATGTGATAATTGGTTAGAAATTTTAAATATTTCAGCAATATTAATAATGCCATCACATTGTTGGGGCTCGAGTTAAATTCCACTGATGAGAAGAATGACTGAATTTAATTGCTGCTAGCATCAAATCAATTACTGATCTCATCAATTCAAATGATGCGCGCCTTAATTTTTCTAATGTTTGCCAGCATCAATAATTCGCATTAATTCAATTGATGAGAGCAATAATTGATTGGCACTTCAGTTCTTTTGAGAGCAATGATTGATTTAATGATATATTTCAAGTAATTTAAGATGACTTCACTATTTCGTGTTTAAGAAATACAAGAATACATGAAAACAATGGATAAATGTATTAAAGAATATTCTTTATCTATAACGTCAAAATTAGAAAATTTACAGAAAAGTGATATTAAGGAATATTGGAGAATTTTAAATAGTTCGAAGGCTAGATGTAAAACTGAAGTTGATATCAAAGCAATGTACGATTTTTTGAAGAAGAAAAAATAATGAATCTAAAGATGATGAAGGTGATGTAGATGATAATGATGTCAATTTCGATAATAACGCCCCTTTAAATTGTCAAATCTCTGCAGAAGAAATCTTGCAAGCAGTTAACAAACTGAAAAATAATAAAGCTCCAGGGTATGATCAATTCTGTAACGAATATATTAGTACAACAATATCATGTTTTTTGCCACTATATGTTGACCTTTTCAATTTGATTTTTGATACTGGTTTTGTACCTGAGGAATGGCTTATTGGTATCGTTAAGCCAATTTATAAAAACAAGGAAGACCCACCTCTTCCTGAAAACTATAGACCAATAACACTATTAAGTTGTTTAGGAAAAGTATTTACCAGTATTTTATGTGAGCGTTTGGATACTTTTTCTGATGAATTATAATTGATTACTGAAGCCCAAGCTGGCTTTAGAAAAGGATGTGGTACAAAAGATAACATATTGATATTAGATTTTTTGTGTAAATTTGTTTCTTTTAGTAAGAAAAAACTTTATTGTGCATTTATTGACTTTAAACAAGCCTTTGATGCTGCTTGGCGATCGATCTGGTTTGTGGTCCAATGTGTTTAAAAGTGGTATAGATGGTAAATGTCTAAGATTTATCAAATATATGTACAGTGGTATTAAATCGAAGATATATATTGATCAAAATATCTCAGAATTTTTCATGTGTAACCTTGGGGTAAGACAAGGGGAAATTTATCCCAATTTCTTTTTACTTTATATATTAACAATTTAGAAAACTATTTATTGCAGAATAATATTGAAGGGGTTACGAGATTTGATGAAAAATTAGAAATTGAAATGCAGATAATATTTAACTTTTTTAGACTTTTTTATGCTGATGACACAGTTTTATTATCTGATAATCCAGAGGATTTACAAAGATCTTTGAATATTTTCTCTGATTATTGTGACCATTGTAAGCTTCAAGTA